TGATTCTTATCAAAAGAACCAACTAGAAGCCCGAGTTTATTCATGTCCTCCTGTTTCCTTGAAGAAAGGTGTGTGTCTTAGAGAAAGAGAGAGTCAACGAGGGGGAAGGGAGACAGGAAGAGACAGAGATAGGGTAAAGAGAAAGGGAGGAAGGGAGAGAGAGGGAGAGAGAGAGAGAGAGACGTCCCAGCTTCTGCTTGAGTGTATCACAGGGAGGCAAAGTTCCTGGGCTGTTGGATCTGATTTGTCAGGAAGCTTAGGATGTTAGACACCTCACCTCACTTAGGAGGACCCCAATCCATTTCCACACCAAATCTGAAGAAAGCCTGGATTCACCGGCCCTCTGATGCAGACATTTGAAGGCGACTCGGCTTTTCTGTGGATTTGGTGGCAGCAGAGGGACCCGCAGGAGCACCCTGTCCCTCTCCAGGACACTGCCTCCCGAGCCGACAGCCGAAGCAGCCCCATCCAGGGAGGACCTCATACTAGCTTGTCCTGGGACCCTGTGTCTCCTGGTTTTAGACCGACATACCTTCCCAAAGGGCATGGTGTAATACTCCACATGGCTGTCATTAATCTTCAGGGGCTTCCCGCTGTCATCAGCCACGATCACGGTCAAGTCTGGGTAATACTGGCGAATGCTCTGGAGCAGAAGCAGGAGCTTGTGGGGGCGAAGGAAAGTCTTGGTGGCAATAGTCACGAGGTCTCTGAGCTTCCTCTCTGGACAAGAAAGGATGGAGGTCAGAGGTCAGAATCGGTCTGGGGGCAATTCACGCTCTTGACGTGTTTGGGTCTCATGGCTTCTTTATTCCACAACGTTTCGGTGTTGACGGTGGGCCTCATGCTCCCAACACACTGAACCCCAAGCCAAATGCCTGGAATGTGTGGATTCTGAGCGAGGAGTTTGCTAGAAACCATGGAAGAGTGCTACACTGTACGCCCTTGACCTCCCATCGCCTACCACCTGCTATGCAAGCTCTCAAACTGCTCACAGCTCTGAATGCAAACACAACTGGCACTGCCTCAAAGCCAAGCCCACCCTTACACCCCACAACTAAGTCTTCGATCTCACCATGGAATAGGAATCCTGGGAGCCCCGTATAAAAAGGCACATGAGAAACCTGCAGACACTGGTGTGGTAGTTACATAATTTCATATCCCTTTGCTATATAGAAGTGTAGGGGTGGAGTCTAGCCTGTCAATCAGGCCCCAGCCTAATGGTACCTCCTTGCGGGTGTGGCCTTCTCATAAGGATGGTCT